AAAAAAAAAAAAAAAAAAAAAAAGTCCTTTCACTGTCATGAGAATAAAAGGAAAAAAGTAGTTGAAATAATCTTAGGCAAAAGCATCAGAAGTTGAACTATAAATGATTGCAATTTTAAACACGTTCCATGTTAGAAGAAAATGTGGACACAGTTTTGACCTGGGACACACTTATCTGAGAATCAACCATTTTTTCTCTCTTCTCTGATTATTTCTCAGGAGAGATTATCTGAACAAATCACCACCTTCATCTTGAGAATGCGTCTTTAAAGGCAGCAGGACAGACCCTCTGAAGAAATCAAACTACTCCTGCAGGACCTGGAAGGCACCCCAAATACTATGAGTGCCCCAACTGCAAAAGTGGGAAAGGGAGAACACGCACCCCTACTGGAGAAGCTGAAAGTCTGTTTGTGGGAGAAGTTCCTGACTACCTGGAGCTGAGTCAAGTTAGAGAGCCAGGCTGAGTGAAATAGAAGAGCGGAGGAGACAGCAGGGAGGCCCTGAGAGCTCGCTGAATCCCCAAATGGCCCATTCCTGCCTGGCACCTGAGGGATCCATTAAGAGGGAGGACAGAGAAGAAGGGGGTAAAACTCCAAAGGGAGAAGCCCTTCCCTTAGCTGAACTTCATAACAATTTGAACGAGGCGAGAAGCTTCCTGGCCAGAACTTTGGGGAAGGCATAAATCTGGCTTGCAGACTTTACAGGCCGGGAAGACAAAGAGCCCTTTTCCTTCCCAACTGAGAAGCAGAAAGCCTTGGGCAATTTTCAAGCCCAACTTGCCCTCCACCTGGAAACAGTCTAGAGGTTGCTGTGGGGGCATAGTGGGAGTGAGACCAACCCTTTGGTTTGCATGGGAGCTGAGCGAGGTCTGTGACTGCCAGCTTTCCCCCACTTCCCTGATACCTGAATGACTCAGCAGAGACAGTCATAATCCTCCTAGGTACACAACTCCTAGGAATCTCACCCCCATTCCCCACAGCAGCAGCAGCAAGACCCACCCGAGGAGAATCTAAACTCAGACACACCTAGAAGCCCCCACCAACCAATGGTCCTTCCCTAGCCACCCTGGTAGTGGAAGACAAAGGACATATAATCTTGGGAGTCCTAAGGCCCCACCCACTGCTGGTTCCTCTCCACGCTACTACAGCTGATGCTTTCTGGAAAGCACTATCTCCTGGCAGGAGGTCAATCAGCACAAAAATAAACCATTAAACCACCAAAGCTAAGGACCCCCATGGAGTCCATTGCACCCTTAGCCACCTTCACCGGAACAGGCACTGTTATCCATGGTTGAGAGACCCATAAATGGTTCACATCACAGGACTCTGTGCAGACATCCCCAAGTAACAGCCTAGAGCTGGGAAGACCCTGGGGGCTAGACCCAGAAGAGAGACAACCAACAATCAATCACTGCAGTTTGGTTCACAGGAAGCCACATCCACAGGAAAAGGGGGAGAGTACTACATCAAGGGAACACCCCGTGGGACAAAAAATCTGAACAACAGCTTTGGGTCCTAGACCTTCCCTCTGACAGAGCATACTCAAATGAGAAACAACCAGAAAAACAAAGCTGACAATATGAGAAAACAAGTTTTGTCAACATCCCCCTAGAAAACACACTAGTTCACCTGCAATGGATCCAGACAAAAAAGAAATCCCTAATTTATCTGAAAAAAGAATTCAGGAGGTTAATTACTAAGCTAATCAAGGAGGGACCAGAGAAAGGCGAAGCCTAAGGTAAGAAAATCTAAAAAATCATACAATAAGTGAAGAGAAAAATATTCAACAAAATAGATAGCTTTAAGAAAAAACAATAAAAAAATTCAGGAAATTTTGGACACACTTTTACAAATGCAAGATGCTCTGAAAGAATCTCAGCAATACAAGCTAACAAGTTGAAGAAAGAAATTCAGAGCTCAAAGACAGGGTATTTCCATTAACCAAACCCAACGAAGATAACAAAGAAAGAATAAGAAAATATGAACAATGCTTATACCCATTACTGGAGATAGTAAAATAAAAAATAAAATAAAAAAAGAAAATATGAACAAAGCTTCCAAAAAGTCTGCAATTACATTAAATGACCAAACCTAAGAATAATTGGTATTACTGAGAAGAAGACAATTCCAAAAGGTTGAAAAACATATTTCAGGGAATAATCAAGGAAAACTTCTCTGGCCTTGTTAGTGACCTAGACATGCAAATGCAAGAAGTGCAAAGAACACCTGGGAAATTCATCGCAAAAATATCTTCACCTAGTCTTCCGGTCCTAGGCGCTTCGGGAGCCGCGGCTTAGGTGCAGACATGGCCAAGTCCAAGAACCACACAACACACAACCAGTCCCGAAAATGGCACAGAAATGGTATCAAGAAACCCCGGTCACAAAGATACGAATCTCTTAAGGGGGTGGACCCCAAGTTCCTGAGGAACATGCGCTTTGCCAAGAAGCACAACAAGAAGGGCCTAAAGAAGATGCAGGCCAACAATGCCAAGGCCATGAGTGCACGTGCCGAGGCCATCAAGGCTCTCGTAAAGCCCAAGGAGGTTAAGCCCAAGATCCCAAAGGGGGGTGTCAGCCGCAAGCTTGATCGACTTGCTTACATTGCCCACCCCAAGCT